GGGCTGGAATGGGCTGGGGCTGGGGGTAGGCTGGGTGCTCAGCCTAGAAAGCCATCAGGGTCGTCATCCTCAAAGTGGCCTTGCTGCAGCACCTTGATGTGGTGCTCGTAGATTTTCAGGGCTGGGCCCAGGCGGATGGACAGGCCAGTCAGCACATCTGTGCGCTGCATGAGCAGCAAAGACTTGCCATCGATTTCCTGGGTGGGACAGAGAGAGAGCGAGCAGGGTGAGAGCAGGGTGAGAGCTGACCCCCACTGAGGCCCTGGAATAGAGGGGCACACCGAGGGCTGGGAACTCGCCTGCTCTTGGAAAGCTGTTGCCTGCTCCGGGAAGCCGGCCTCGGTGAAGTACTCAACCACGTCCATCACCGTCCACTCCACGGGGTCAGCCGGCTTCTCTTTGCGCCCGGAGCTGTGTCAGAACAGAGGGAACCAGTGAGAAGCGATACTCCCCCGGTTCTGTTACACCCATGAAAGCAACACCCCCGTTTCTCAAATACCCCAACTTACGGACAGCCAAAGGGGGTTCCATCGGCCCCTGGTAGGGCTGGTTTTCCTGGGGGCAAAGGCACAGGGGACGGGGAGTCTGGCCCAGTGGCAGCAGAGGCTGGGAAAGAAAACACATATGCCTGTGGCTTTGTCTTGGGGCTCAGTTCCTCCCCACCAGGCAATACCCCCCCAACTCAGAGAGATCCTTACCTGATCCCCCTTCCTTATTCATGGCTGCCATGGAGAACACTTGGCGGGTACCACTGACTGGTGCCGGCCCCCGGCTTTCATCCTGGCCCTGGTGGGGTCCACAGGGTGTCCACTCCTTGACCCTCTCCTTGGCACTCTGAGGGCCTCGCTCGCCATTAAGCTGGTGGTGCTGGGCACCTGCTGGACGGTCACCCTCAGGCACCTCTGAGCCCTCAGACACATCATCCTCGTCATCCTCCTCTTCCTCGTCTTCTTCCTCCTCTTCCTTCTCAAGCACTCGCTCTTCTCCACCTCTCTGGTGCCGGGGAGAGAGGCAGGAAAGGTTAGTAGCTGTTCTGGCCCTGGGCCCAGTCCCTGGGATCCAGGACCGGGTGGTGTGCTTAACACCCACCTTTAATATCAACACGGACTAACTTTTACGCATTCAGTCCGTGCCAGGCTCTGTGTTAATAAAGCCCTCAGAAGCCAAATCTCACTAAACTCGCTCAACAACCTCAAGAGGTCGCTACTGCTATTAAGTCGCGTTTTACAAGCGGAGGAAACTGAGGCTCGGCAAGATTAAGTCACTTGCCAAGGTCACCAAGCGCGGAACCCGCAGTTAAGATGCGAAAAGCCAGGGCCGCCCGCCGCCCGATTCCTCCCGGGACTCGCGCCCCGCCACCAACTTCGCCCGCACCTGCCTACCGCGCGGCACCCCCCCCTTCCCCGGCGCGCTCACCTTGCTCCGCGACGCGCGGGCGCTGGCGGCCGGCGGCGCCCGTCCGGGCCTGTCCCCGCGGGGCAGCGCGAGCGCTCCGAGGCGAGTGCGCTCCAGGCGGCCCCGCGCTGCCGCCTCTTCCTCCAGCAGCCCCTGCACGCGGCCGCGAGTCAGGCGGCCGCCGGCGCCGCCGCTGCCCCCGAGGTAGCGCACGACTTCCCGCAGGCTCACGGGCCGCGCCGGGCCGCCGGCCCGCGCCGCGCCCCCCTCCGGCGGCTGCTGTGGCTGCGGCGGCGGCGGCTGCTGCTGCTGTGGCGGCGCCGGCGGCTGTGGCGGCGGCGGCAGCGGCGGCTCCCGGGCGGCGACGGCGGGCGGGGGGGCGCGGCGCGGGCCGGCCGGGGGCGCCACTGCCGGAGGAGCGGCGGGCGCGGGCGGCGGCGCGGCCAGGGGCGCGGCCCGCTGCGCGCGGGGGCCCGGCTGCGCGGGGCCGGGCGAGGGGGGCGCTGTGGCGGCGGCAGCGGCGGCCGCGCGGGGCGCCCGGGCCGGGGCGGTGGCGGCGACGGGCGCGGGCGGTGGCGGCGGGGCGGGCGTGGGCGGCGGCGCGGCGGCGGCGGCGGCGGCGGCGGGGCCCCCGCGGGGGGCGCGCGGCGGGGCCGGCGGGGTGGCTCCGCGCCGGGGCGGCTGGACGCGCGCCGCGTTGCGGTACGAGATGCTCCCCTTGTAGCTGACCCGGAGCACGGCGCGCTGCTGGATCAGTTTCTCGAGCTCGGCGCGCGTGCGCTCCGGCTCCGGGCCGTGCCGCCGCCGCACCATCCGGCAGATGCGCTCCAGGTCCGGCCGCGCCTTGCGCGAGCGCAGCGAGTCGATGGTGTCCAGGATCCACTCTTGGTAGTGCGGGGAAGCGGCGGACGACGAGGCAGCGGCCGCCGTGGTGGCGGCCGCCGCCGTCTCCGGCGGGGGTAGGGCCGGGGGCCCCGCCATGCCTCCCGCCCGGCCCGGCTGCACCGTGCGCGCTGCCTCCCTCCCAGCGCGGCGCCCCCCTCCCCGGCTCCCCTCCCTCCGCCGCTGCCCGCCTCCTCCGCCTCCCCCCCCGGGGGGCGCAGCGCCCCGGGGGGGGGGGGGGGGGGCCGGTTTTTTTTTGCAAAAAAAAAAAAAAAAAAAAAAAAGCGAGAGAGAGGGAGCGCGAGAGAGAAAAAACAGTGAGAGAGAAAGAAAAGAGAGAAAAAAATATGCACACACTCACTCACTCGCACGCACGCACACACAGACCCGCTTCTGCTGGGCGCGCGCGGGGCCGGGGATGCGAGGAGGGAGGAGGGGAGCGCGGCGCGGCCGGCCCCTCCCCGCCGCCGCCGCCGCCGCACGCGCGCCCTGCGCCCGGGACACTCCGGCCCCCCTTCCTTCCCTCCCTCCCTCCTCCCCGCCGCCCGCCTTCCTCCCTCCCACCCCCACGCGCCCGCTTTTAAGGTGGAGCCCGGGCCCCCCGCCCGCCCCCTTTACCCTGCGCTCTCGCTCACTCTGGCTCGCTCCGGCCCCCCCTTACAACTCCCGCGCGCTTTTTAAGGAGGCGCCGTGGAGTTGGCGCCGGGGCGGGGGCGGGGGAAAGCGGCGGGCGGGGGAGGGGGAGGGGAGCGCCGGGGGGAGGGGAGAGGGGGCGGGCGGGGCGGGCGGGCGGCGCTCGGCCGCCCTCCAGCCATTGGGCGCGGGACCCAGACGTCCCCGGCGCCCAGCCCCCCTCTCCACGCCTCCCCGGCGCGCTCCGCTCTCGGGACCGCACTTACCGGGAACTCGCCGCCCGCGGGCCGGGCCCCTGCGCTCGCCGGGCGCCGCGGGGACCCTCGGGCTGTCGCCGCCCCCGCGCCCCAACGGCGCGCTTGGCCCCGCGCTCCGCGCCGAGGATGCGGGGAGGGGGGCGCGCACGGTCTCCCCCACCCTTTACCCCCCCACCGCCAGGGCCGCCCCCGCCGCCGCTCGGCCTCCCGGCGCGCCGGCCCCAGCGTCTCCCTAGAGCGCCCTCTCGGCCGAGGGCTGGACGCCGAGGGGGCGCGCCGCAGATTGGGGACCCCGAATCCAGGGTCAAAGGGCAGTTTGGCGCCCCCTTCTCCTGCGGGGCGGGGTAGTGGCCGAATTCTGGCCAAACCCGGTTTTACAAGGACTCTAGGCCAGATCCTGATCAGCCTGGACGTTGGGGTCCGAAATTCTCTTTCCAAACCCCTGGGGGTATGTGGGCGGGTGACCGAAGTCGGGAACACCAACGACACTTTTTTTTAAACAAAACTTTATTGGTAATAGTTTTCAAATATGTTTACAACAGCACACTGTTCAAGAGGAAGTCGCGTCCTTCGCAGCACACAGGTTGAATTGCCCCGTGCCCACCCGGGGCCCCACCCCAGGCCTGAGAGCTCCTCCTGGATGGGGAGAAGTTATGAGAGGGACAAATATGGGGATGAATGGGGTGGTTCCCCACTTTTAAGAGAGAAAAAAGCACAAATTGGGGGGTAGAAAGGGTGATGGACAGCTGACAGCTAAGCAGAGGAGGAGCGCCCAGGATGGGAGGAGGGGGGCGGAGGCTGCTGGGTGAATAAAACAGGCAGCCCCTCCCCAGCAACCCTGGCCTTGAACCCGGAGCCAAGAGCGGGAGGAGGGCTTTGCCTTCTTTTGCAGGGGTTGCCTTCCCAACTGAGCAGAGAGGAGGCTGGACATTAAAATCTAGCTGAGAATAAAATTAGAGTTTGAGGGGAGTGCTGGTGGGAGGAAAGACCCTGGGCTTGGGGCTCCCCTTCTATCGTTTCGGGGGACAACTCTTTTTTGGCAGGGAGGGGGCAGCTGCTTTCTATGTCTTGGCCGAAGCCCAAAGGTGAAGGAAGGTCTGTTGGGGCAGAAGGGGACAGGGGCTTCCTAAAGGGGCTGAGACCCTTCCAGGCTTGCCAGGGGAACCCCCAGGGTAGGGGGGAGGTGGACAGAGGAGCAGAGGAGATTAGCAGCTTGGGGCGGAGGTCTGAACCCCAGCTCCTTCCTTTACAAATTCAGTCTGCTTCCCAGCCTTGTTAAAATGGATTTGGGAAGGGGGAGATATGGGAAGGGTAGGGGAAGAAGGTGGGGAGGCACTGGTGGAACTTAAATAAGATTATACTTTTTTTTTTTTTTTTTTAAATTCTAGCAAGCAGCCCACCCAACAGGTTACTAAAATCTCTCCTTTCCAGGCATGACTGCTCTGAAGAGAAGGCTGGCCTTTCCTTCATTTGCCCTTAGTGGGTGATGCCTGTGGTTTGGGGAGGTGGGGATGGAGTTAAGTTTGGGCCCCTCTTTCCACACCCTGTCCCTGAATACACCAGCAAGACTTGGTCTGACTGGAACATAGAAACTCATTTAAAACAGGCAGAAGTGGGCTGGGTTGGGGGCTTCTGGGGAGGAGGAAGGCAAAAGCGGTGGGGAGGGGCAGGAGGGTGAGGGATTGAGGGAGAGCAGCTGGTGTTTCCATTCCTCTGAATATCTGGCTTCCTGCTCCCCCTACCCTGGAGGGTGGGGTGGGGGTGAAATTAGATGCAAGGAACTCTGGGGCCTTCTGGCTGTTCAATCCAACCCCCCCCCCCCCCCCCCCCCCCAAAAAAAAAAAAAAAAAAAGAGAGAAAGAAAGAAAACCCATGGGGGCACAGGCACACCCCTAAAACTCAGTAAACTCCTTGCCACACTTCTCATTGATGGAGACTCGGATCTCTTCCTCCTCATAGTCGTCAAAATTACTCGTGTCCCCAGGGCCTTTAAACTTTGGTATGAAGGGAGCTTCCACCTGGACAGGGGTCAAGAACCACTCAGACCTCAGTAGTCAACATAATTATCCTTACAACAATAAATGTAAATGGACTAACATTCGTGAGATAATTTACTATGACCCAGGTCTCAGCTTAACATTAGGATGTCGACTCACCTTAACAACCTAATAATCTCATTATAGCTAGCTCACCAGAGGGATGTCTCATGCTCAAGGTCACAGAGTGGCCAAACGATCCCACTTCTAGACCCCCACGGCTCTAAGTCCCCTCAGCTGGACTGGCTCAGAGCCTGTGGCCTATTTTCAGATATCACTACCCTTTCCATCTCTCGACTGGTAGCCCTCCCTGGCTCATGGACTCCTCTCAAAACCCTCTGCACCTGCTGGGAAGAGGGGCGGCATGGGGAAGGAGGTGGCCCACCTTCCTCTGGTAGATGGCGATCCAGTCAGTTGTGGCAAACCACTTGTGGTTCTTGATATCGTTAACCCCATTCTTGAGGTTCCCAAAGCGTTTGGTGAGGTCCACCTGCAGCAGGTTCCGCAGCAGATCCTTCAGGTCAGAGCTGAAGTGGGATGGGAACCGCACCTGGAGAGGGGGTTAACAAGGACAGGGTGGGGGACTTGTCTGGAGTTGAGAAATACCAGAATGCTGCCTTTGCTGCCTAACAGTCCTACTGGGTGGAGAATCTTCAAATTGAATGTGCTTTAGGATCCCATTAAAAAAGCTTGTTGGGGGGGGGGGGTGCCTGGGTGGCTCAGTCGGTTAAGCATCTGCCTTCAGCTCATATCATGATCCCAAGTTCCTGGGACTGAGCTCCAGGCTGGGCTCCTTGCTCACAGTGGGGAGTCTGCTTCTCACTTTCCTTCTGCCTGCTGCTCCCCCTGCTCGTGCTCTCAATCTCTGTCAAATAAATAAAATCTTGGGGCGCCTGGGTGGCTCAGTGGGTTAAAGCCTTTGCCTTCGGCTCAGGTCATGATCCCAGGGTCCTGGGATAGAGCTCCGCATCGGGCTCTCTGCTCAGCGGGGAGCCTGCTTCCCCTTCTCTCTCTGCCTACCTCTCTGCCCACTTGTGATCTCTGTTGGTCAAATAAATAAATAAAATCTTAAAAAAAAAAAAAAAAAAGCTTGTTGGGGCCATGGGAGTTTGATTCAGGAGGTCTGAGAACCTGTGCCTAGCCTGTTCCTCGGCCATGCTGATGCTGTTGGACAGGGGGCCACTTTGGGAACTGCTGCTCTAAGGTAAATGCTCCGATGGTTCCCATTTCAGAGAAGAGGAGAGAGGCTCAGATGGGTTGAACAGCTTGTTTAGGGTCATACAGAGGAGTGGGACAAGGGGGCTTTCACCTTGGGTCTGCTGGACTCCAGAACTTGCATTCTTAGCTACTGCTTCCTAAGGCAGCTCTGCCAGGGTCAGGGGACTTCTGAAATATTCATGGTTATGAGAGAAATGACTGTTTTTGTTTATCCCTTTCTCCCCATAGCTAATTAGGACTCTTTCACTCTTTAAGGCTCACTTCAACTCTTCCAGAGACTTCCCCAAAGCCTTGTTCGCAAGTAGTTACCGGATTTACAGCCGCAAGAACGAAGTTCTAGCACTGCTCTACATCTTACACGCTGTATGACCTTGGCCATGGCCCTTAACCTCTCTGGGCCTGTGCCTGCCTCCAGTTGCACAAGGGAGAGAATACCGCGCAGGGTGCGTGGGAACTGTAAAATGCTACAAAGAAGGGAGTTATACTCATCTTCTCTTTCCTCCTCAGAATTGCCTATGGTTTTTTTTTTCTTTTCCCCCACTTTGGGCCATTTTCCCTGCAATTTCTTTTCTGCCTGGTGGCACACACCTCGTCTTTCCCTTTTTAGTGACCCCACATTGCAGCTGGTTTCTTTCTCAGAGAGGCAAGCGTCTGGTTCCCCAGTTCTCGTACGGTAAGGTGAAGCTCAGAGGGGCACAGGCGCTTGCCCGAGGTTTCAAAGTCAATGGGTGACTGAGCTGGGACTTGGAGCCAGGTTGACGCCCCCAGGCTGAGCTGGGACCTGCTTCCACTAATTCCCGGGCTAGGTGGAAGGATGGCTGAGTCCTCCCAGCAAGGTGGTGAGCTAAGGGCAGAGGTCGGGTTCCACCCTGTCCCAAGCCCTTGGGGCCTGTGATGATGCTCTCCACACCTGAGCTTCATCACTCCTTCCAAGTGCTGGGGTACAGCGAAGGGGGGTGCGTCGTGTGGCAGTGAGCACATCTGTGCTCTGTGACAGCTCTGCTGCCCCGACCTGCACTCCGAGAGTCAGCAAGTCTGCATCTGGGAGAGAAGACGTGGGCCGCATCCCCTAAGTGACCCTGAAGGGCCCCGAGTGGCACCCAGGAACTGCACATGGTTGCTTTTCTGCTGTGAAACTTGTGAAAACTCATGCTCAGTGGGATGACTGGAGGCAAGCAGAGCTTCCGGTCAGGCAGGGGAAGGTGTTCGGGTGGGGCTTGGGGTTCTGGAAGCTCTGGAAATAGCAGCAGCATGGGTCTAGGATTAGGTAGGGAGGTTGTGTGAGGTGCTGGCCTGTTCGTGTGGCTGGTGCACCCAGCTTCACTGCTTGGCCTAACTTAACTTCTAGATTGTTCTGACACTATATGCAGGGCTCCATGGTGAGCAGAACTGGTGGGGAACAGTCTGTCCGGGGGCTTAGCCCCCGTATCCAGGCCTCACCTTCCCAGAGACAATCTTCTCATAGATCTGGATGGGCTGGTCAGCGAAGAAGGGTGGGTAGCCAGCGGCCATCTCGTAGATGAGAACCCCTAGGGCCCACCAGTCCACAGCCTTGTTGTAGCCCTAGAGTGAGAGGGGTGTATGGTGTGAGGAGGGCAAGGAGGGGGTGCAGGCAGAGCAGGCCTCAAGGCAGGGGGATGGACAGGGAGGTGCCTACTTTGCTCAAGATGATCTCCGGGGCCAAGTACTCAGGGGTCCCGCATAAGGTCCAGGTGCGGCCTTTTACACGCTTGGCGAAACCGAAGTCTGTCACCTGCGGGCACAAGAACGGGCTGTTGGCCAGGAAGTGGGGAGGGACGGGGAAGATCCAGCCCAAGGCCACCTGGGTCCGCCCCTTGCGCGTCCTGGTGGGCACCTGGATGTAGCCCTGCTGGTCAATGAGGAGGTTCTCCGGCTTCAGGTCCCGATAGATGAGGTCAAGTGAGTGCAGGTACTCGAAGGTCAGGACGATCTGGGCCGCGTAGAAGCGGGCATGCGGTTCACTTGTGGGGACAATTGGGGAGAGGACAGGTGAGCGTGGGTGGTTATGCCCAGCATGACCCGCCCACCGCCAAATGATCTAGAGCTGCCCCAAATACATAAGCAGAGCAGACTTCTTCGAACAGGGCCCCACATGGGAAAGAGCTGCATGTCCAGCAACAGAGGAACACAACCAGAGTGCGGTAGCTTCGCACACTGGGATCGCACCCACCGCCACCACCAGGACAAACGATGAATACAGTTAACGACGTGGCTAGAGATCAAGATGATTATGTGAGCAAGAGAAGAAAGGAACAGAAGAATGTGAATGGTGTGATTTCCATTTATACCCAGTTCAAACCCAGACCAAACACATTTATGGTGTTTGAAACCAGAAAAGACAACTGCTTTCTTCAGGGCAGCAATTTGCCTAGAAAGGGCTTCAAGGGAATTTTCTGGGGTGAAGGAAATGTTTTCTATGGTATTTTGGGTGGTGGTTTCACAAGTGTATGTGACTGTCAAAACACTGAATACCTGTGCGTTCTGTTGTATGTAAAGCGCTTATCTATATAACTAAGGAAAAAGATAGCATTAATTTTATAACTGCCAACTTAAACAGGGAGCCCTAAGTCACTGTGTTGCTTCTGTTTTGTGGGGGCTGAGAAACCACATATTCCTCAGCTCAGGGGCAACAAGAACCTGGACAGACCTGGAGAGCCCACTTCACACCCCCAGATGGCTTGGTCATGTGACAACACCTGTGGGCCCACCTGGCCCCACCTGGCCAGCTCACCTGAACCTTCCGATCCGCCGCAGGTGCGAGAACATCTCCCCGCCAGGCACATACTCCATGACCATGTATAAATTCGAGTTGTCCTACGGGAAACAGCTGCTGATCAGGGCCCAGTCCAAAAGCCTGGTGCCCTTACGTGGTGGGTGTTCCAAAATAATGGGACAACAATAATCTTGGCTCCCATATGAAGCCCGTTTGGAGTTCCAGGCGCTGTTCTCCCTGAGCCTCCCCTCTTATTTCCTTCTGCCCCATGAAGAAGGGGCAGCAGGTATCCTGCTTACAGGGGGTGAAGGTGAGGGCCGGCAGGTGGGGTGTAAGGGGCCCAGCCAGCGTGCCTGGGCTGGGGAGAGGACTCCATGGTGCCTCAGGTCTGAAACTGTCTTGCCCAAAGCTTGAGGTCACAGTTTTGTCACCTGTAAAACGGGCCCAGGATGGGCTACAGAATTTGTGGGGCCCCAGAATAAAAATGTGAAGCCCCTTGTTAAAAAAAATTATGACAAATTTTAAGAAGGTAGCAGCAGAGGTTTAAACCACACATGGGGGTCTGTCTGGGTCTCAGGCCTTGAATAGCTTTTCCCAGATCCTGTTGTCACAGCTTAGGACAACACCCAAAATAGCTCACGGAGGGCACTCACTTTGTGCTTGGAATGGTCATGCCCACCCCATCAGGTGGGGAGTGCTGTGATCCCCACTTTATAGACAAGGAAACAGATTCAGGGCAGGGAGGTCCTGCGCCAATGTTACACAGCCTGGAGGTGCACAGAACTGGGGTTTGAATCCACGCTGCGTGGGGAGTTTGGGTTACAGGTGGGCGTCAGGTGCTTGCTGTCGAACAGGGAGCTGGTTTGAAGGGACGTCAGCCAGGTTTGCAGGCTAGAAGCTGGTGGGCCCAGGAGCTGGACGTGGGTCTACCAGAGTCTCAGGCTGACTCCTGCCCCCTAGCAGCCCTCCTCTGGGGCTCTCCTTCTTTCCCGTTAGTGGACCTGCCTTGCCCTCGGCCCCCATCCTAGCTCTGGGAGCCCCAAGGCTGTACCACTTAGAAGGGGCCCCGGCCCCTGGGACCCCACCTTGAAGGAGAACTCGAGTTTGACGAGGAACGGGAAGTTGACCGCCTGCAGGATACGCTTCTCATTCAGGGTGTGCTCGATCTGTTTCAGCTTCACCACCTGCGGGGGTGGGAAGGGAGGGCAGAGAGGGTCTGAGAAGGTCCTCTTCCTCCCCCATGCCCAGAAGTAGGGGTGCCTGGGCTGGGTCCTTTGAGTGCCCCCAGCCTGTAGAGCCTGGGGCTGGATGCACAGTGAAGACACACTGAGAAGGCAGAGGCTGCCTGTCCCTGCATGGCAGGCAGTTCAGGGCAAGAACACGAGTCACCAAGCCTCATGGCCCAGAGGGGTCAGAGCCATGGTGTGGGAAGCTTGGGGCCTGTGGATACCCAGATAAGAGGCCTGGTAAGGTCAGGGGGATGAGGGAGTCAGAGAAGGCTTCCTGGAGGAAGGGGCAGCTAAGCTGAAACCGAAAAGACAAGCGAGAGTGATACCTAAGAGATGTTTAGAAACACTTTGCCTGCATCCAGAGCACCCTCCCCACAACCACTCAAACCCCAGGCTGATTCTGCCTCAGCTGTCCCCAGCAGGCGCCTCACACATAATGACAAGAGCCCTGAGGGGCATGTGCTCTGAGCATGGGATTTTGGCAGATGCAGAGAAGGGAAGTGACTTGCCCAAGGTCAACCACTGCTAATCTGGGTCAGGCCCGCATGTCACCTGCAGGCAGGCTGGCCCCTCGGTCAGCTCTGGTCTGCTGTGCCACAGGGCTCCTCCTGCTTTGCTCACAGCTGTGAGCTACAGGTCCACACCCGCACTGTCTGGTGAGTCTGTACTACCACGTATGGATGTTGAGCACCTGAGAGGTGGCTAGGTGCCTGGTGAGCTGAGTTTAAAATTTTAAGTTTCTAAAATGAAAAAAATTTTTTTTTAATTTGTCGGGGAGAGAGAGAGCGAGCGAGCGCATGCGTGCACAAGCAGACAAAGTGGCAGGCAGAGGCAGAGAGAGAAGCAGGCTCCCCACTGAGCAAGGAGCCCGATTCGGGACTCGATCCCAGGACCCTGAGATCATGACCCAAGCGGAAGGCAGCGGCCTAACTGACTGAGCCACCCAGGCGTCCCTGAAATTTTTTTTTTGTAAAGATTTTCTTTCTTTCTTTCTTTGACAGAGAGAGACATAGAGAGAGAGGGAACACAAGCAGAGGGAGAGGTAGGCAGAGGGAGAGGCAGGCTTCCCGCTGAGCAGGGAGCCCCATGTGGGGCTCAATCCCAGGACCGCGGGATCATGACCTGAGCCGAAGGCAGATGCTTAATGACTAGGCCAGCCAGGCGCCCCTAAAATGAAAATTTAAAAAGGGACACTCGAGGCCAGTTACTGGATGACTGTTAAGCCTGACTGGAACAATGCGGGCTATGTGAATTTGCTTTTCCAACCTCTCTGTTTTTTCTTGTTTTCTAGTGAAAACTGAACATCTGACCAGAGATGTAAAATACACGCTGGATTCTGAAGACTTAATACAGATTAAAAAAAAAATGAGATGTCTTATTAATGGTATTTTTGCACTGGTTACACACATTGAAATTTTAATATTGTAAATATACTGGCTTAACTAGAGCGAATTTTTGAAATTAATTGTTTCTTCTCACTTTTTAAAGGGGGGGATTCTACAAAATTTTAAAAATACAAGGCGCCTGGGTGGCTCAGTGGGTTAAAGCCTCTGCCTTCGACTCAGGTCATGATCCCGGGGTCCTGGGATCCAGCCCCGCATCAGGCTCTTTGCTGCTCAGCAGGGAACCCACTTCCTCCTCTCTCTCTGCCTGCCTCTCTGCCTACTTGTGATCTCTGTCAAATAAATAAATAAAATAAATAATAAATAAATAAATAAATAAAAATAAATAAAAAAAAAAAAAAATAAATTAAAAAAAAAAAGGACTAAAAAAAAAAAACAAACAACCAAACCATATACAGCTTGTATTACATTTCTATTAAAGAGTGCTACCCAACAGTAGTGCCTGGCATAGAGTAGGGTCTCAAAAATATTTACAGAAATAAGGCCTATGGGGTGCCTGGGTGGCTCCATCAGTTGAGCGTCTGCGTTCGGCTTGGGTCATGATCCCAGGGTCTTGGGATGGAGTCCTGCATCAGGATCCCTGCTCGGTGGGGAGTCTGTTTCTTCCTCTCCCTCTGACCCTCCTACCCACTTGTACCCCCTCTCCCTGTCTCGAATAAATAAACAGAATCTTTAAAAAAAAAAAAAAAAAGTCCGTGTGGGGCACCTGGGTGGCTCAGTTGGTTAAGCCACGACGACTCCGGTCATGATTCCAGAGTCCTGGGATCGAGCCCTGCATTGAGCCCCACCTTGGGCTCCCTGCTCAGCGGGGAGTCTGCTTCTCCCTCTCCCTCTGCTCCTTCCACTCCCTCACCCCTGCTTGTGCTCTCTCTTGCTATCTCGCTAATAAATAAATTTAAAAAGAAAGAAAGAAAGAAAGAAAAAGGAAGGAAGGAAGGAAGGAAGGAAGGAAGGAAGGAAAGATGGAAGTAAGGTCTGTGTAAATACAATACTTTCCCCAGGAAGACTTCTGGCTTCCTTGGTCCAGGGTAGGTGTTTGAACCCATGTTCACTGCCTGGACTCCCATGAATGGCTGGTCTGGAGGGGAAGCTTCATGAAGGCAGCATGGGCGCTTCTGGCCCTTGGGTCTGGCACATTAGGAAGGCTCAGGAAACAGTGAATGACAGACAGGAAGACTGCTCAGGCAGTGGGAACAGTCTGAAGGAAGGCCTGGTGGGTGGATGGTGGCCCCCGGGATGGGCCGTGCTTACCTTCTGTTTGTCAAGGATCTTCATGGCAAAGTGGTTCCCGGTCTCCTTGTGCTTCACCAGCATCACCCGCCCAAAGGAGCCTGTGCCGAGGGTCTTGATTCGTTCAAACTGATCCAAATGGGCTGTATTCTGTGGGCGGAGGGGTTGCGAGGGTCAGGGACCCTCTCCAAGTGGGGGCAAGGCCAAGGTCCAGGGCCCCCTCTGCCACCAGCAGAGGGGGCCCTGGGGAGCAGGTGGAGTGATGGGGGTGAGGACAGGGGGCGGAAAAACAAGATGGCGAAGGACACATTCCTTAAGGCGGGTGGCAGGAGCCAGATCCGGCCCTGGACCAGGGCCCAGGAACTGCTGGCAGCTGCATGGGGGGCAGGGGCCACCAGGTGGAAGGGGGGGGTGGGGGGGGGGTGCGTGGCAGTGGGTGATTGGGTGCCTCCGCCCAGGAGCCCCCATTGGCATCTAGGGGGCAAATGGGGTCAGGTCTGGAGCCCTCCACAGGGCCTGAAAAATCTTCACCATGTGAGAGGGACACAGCCGGAGGGTAGGGGGCGGTCAGCTCTCCCCTCTAAGGCTCTGCATCCCAGGTGCTTACCTGAGCAGGATTTTCCCATTTTTTAAGAAAATCTTCTTTGGCTTTGGCTAAGAACTCTTTCACTGAAAGGAAAAGAGAGAGTGTTGGTTAGAGACCCCACCTGGTCGGGGTGGGCTGAGGCCATTCCTGGGGAGACGCTCATTTGTGCAATGAGAGATAAACCCAGAGACTGGCCTTATCCCAGCAGCTTCAGGTGCCCCGGCTGAGCTGGAAGGCAGCTTTGGGGGACCCTGATCTGGGATGGGGCCTGCCTTTACTCAGAGAAGTGGGATACAGACTCAACTCTGTCCCGAATGGGGTACAAGGTGACTCAGGGGTTACTCTTAGGGGTACAGAGAGTGACGCCCAGGCCAGCCCACCCCCCACTCACTCCAGTTCTGACCGACATTCCACGGCCAGGGCCGACGCCAGCCAAGATATTTATAGCCTGGGGATTTGGCTGCTCCTCCAGCCCCTTCTCTGGGGAGGCCAGGCCCTGGGTGGAGGCCTCTGGGGCTCGAGTAGCAAGAGCCCTTGGGGGGCTCAGCTGTTGCCTTGGCCCCCAGCTGGCCCCGTTCCTGCCTTTGCCAGTCCAGGGGAACTTCCTCTGAGCTGGTTCAAGGGGAGCCTTGCCCGATGCCCATACCCTATGGGCCCTTCAGGACCCCAAGGTGAACATCACCATCCAGCTAACAGTGAAGACCTCCTGGTGTATTCTGGGCCTGCTCACTTGGTTCGCCTACCAACTTTCCTTTTATTCATCCTTCCCATTTAAAGCCCTAGGAAACTGAGGCTGGAAAACAGGCCTTCTTGCCAAAGCCAAGAAGGAGCCCAGTAAAGCAGTTAAGGGCTGGAACGCTGGGACAAGATCAAGTTCAAATCCCGGTCTGGTCTCTGATGAGCTGTGGAACCTTAGGCAACTGACCTGACCTCAGTTTTCCTCATCTGGAAAGTGGAGATAATACTAGTAACGCCCTGGTAGGGTGGTTGTGAGGAATGAATGAATTAATCTTGGCAAAAAGGGTTGGACAGTGGCTGGTATGGGGTTAATGCCATATAAATGGCAATTACTGATTTTGCTCTTAAGTACTTAAAAAAATTGAGGTATGAAATATGGGGGTGGGGGTTGCACTGGCCTCTCAAACTTTAAATGTACAGCCTGGTGGATTCTCACATTACAGACCCATCCTTGTAACCACCCCCTGGGGCCAGACACGCTCTTCAGGGACCCTTCCTGTGTGCCAGTCCTTTGCTGAATGCTCTCTGTGCTTGATTCCTACCCTGATGGGTCAGACCTGCTGTTCCTCTCCTTGTACAGATGGGAAGACTGACCAGGCCCGAGGTGGCCTGCCGGACCTCACCGCCCACAAGACTCAGTGTTTCGCTGTTGCTGGATAGCAGTGCACCAGGGTGGCCCACAGACTGAGCTGTCTTCTACCTCCTGATGTTCCTGCGACACCTGCTACCCTGAGGGGTTGTGTAGGCTTGCTCTCAGGCCTTGTCTGTCACCTGCCTGGACTACCCAGACATAGCGCCAGGAATTCCACACAGCCTCAGGGGTGGCTGCCACTCCCACCGTCCCCAAGACTCCCTTCAGCGTTTGGAGGGATGAGCCTTCCCTGGGGTTGCAGGAGTGGCAGATGGAGGAGAGACTGTTGGTCAGGAAAACCCTCAAATGGGTGACTGGGCAGACAGGGGGCAGTCAAGGAACAGCCACGAGTCCTAGGCTGGTGCCTGGCTGGGCCGTCCGCTGCTCCAGACCTCTCTGAGCCTGGGGGCTGCACCAAGTCCAATGCTTTCACCTGCACAATCTCTTATGACGCAGAACACCTTCCTTGGAAACCTCCAAACATACACACTGAATTCTGGATGAAGGTGGCGGGGGAGAGGGTACCCTTCACCTTTGGGTACCTTTGCCTGCCCAAGAGGGCGAAGAAAGGGATGTGGGAAGAATCCAGGAAAATGCCTGGTCCTGCTTCCCTGTTTGCTCTCAGCCATTCCTGAGAATTACCATATTCTGCTTTTTCCTGACTCAGTGGGCCTGCCTCTGGCTGTCTGCTGGTTCCCCACTGAGAGGCTCCATGGGAGCCTCGGTCCTAGTACAGCTCTTCTCTAGACTCTCAAAGAACTAAAGGGCCCAGACTGTGTCCCCTCTGGTGCCACTGGCTTGCCAGATTTGGGCACAGTGGGGAGGGGAGTGGATGGTGCCAGGAGTATGCAGATAAAGAGGGATAATAATTGGGGAACCCCAGCCAGGAGCCCCCATACTCACCTCTGCTTCCTACCTCTTCCAGCAGAGGGTGCAATGGGGGGGTGGAGAGGGATAGGGTGATCTGAGACCCATGGTCAGGGAGGCTCAGGGTGCTGGCTGCGGCTTAGGTACCCAGAAGGTGCGGTGCAGATAGCCCAGGAAACGGATAGTCAGGTGGGCCCAGAGGAGCAGCTGCAGCCACAGCTGGAAGGTGGTCTCCGAGTCACTGCCCTGGCCACTGTCTGACCCCACATCCATCCCAGGCTGCCCTGAGCTCTCCCTGGAACCTTCCCTTTGCGGGGAAATGAGGAATACGCAAAGCCTCTGAGCTGGCTTCCTCTGGAGGGCCTCAGGGGACCAGGGAGGAGGAGCTGGTTGCCAGGGAAGCATTTAAAGGTGCCCGCTCCCAGCTGGCCAGGGTTCGCAAAGGCCCTCCTTGGCAGAAGGCAGTGGGAAGATTCTCCTGAGGTTGTCCCTTCTGGCTGGCCTGGCTGCCCCAGGGGTGGAGTGCTAAAGCTAACTTCCTGTTCCAGGGACTTCACTGCTCCCAAGACGCCAGGTCCTGCCTTCCTCAGTGGGTGCTGAACTACCCAACGGATGGCACCGATGTGCCCAGGGCAGTGCTCACTGGGCAGAGGGGAAGGAGTTAAGGTTCAGGCCCAGGCAGCAGCAAGGGGCTCCCTGGGGGGCCAAAGAAGCCCCAGAGCCCAGTTAATTAGCTGAAAGAGCGGATGGAAGAGAAAGGCGTGATGGGGCGGGGGGCAGACACAAGAACCACCCTATCTCCTCCCCTAAGTCCTCTTTGAATCTGGAGCCCCCAAATCCTGTTGCCCCAAGAGAAAAATGGGTATATCTGGATTTATCTTGCTCCTGTGTGGGGGCAGAGAGGGGACTGACATCGCGGGATGTCCTTGGCCTGTCAAACCTTGCCCTGTGCTTGGCTTTGCTTTCAGCCACGAAAGTCCAACCGGAAACGAAGGACTAAACCTAGGAGTGGGGGAGGGGGAGGCAGCCTTGACCATCTTCCTCCTTCTTTCCACATCCCAAATAAAGTGGAGGGTCAGTGGAAGCTTCTCTGAAAGTGCCCAGCACCCGTGGCCCCTCCTGACAACAGGAAGTGGCAGAGAAGGGAAACTCAGCCAGCTGCTGGCTTATGAAACTCGCACCCCTGCCATGTCTCCTATGGGGGATGGAGGGTGGTTCCCAGCCTCCACTCTGGTCTGGATTCTATTTGGGCTAACAGAAGGAACCTCAGACACCCGTCCAAAAGCCAGAGCCACAGCAGGAGGCAGGAGCCCAGCCTCAGACACTGCAGACAACAATCCCAGCAACACTCAGCCCTCTGAAACCTGTTTGGGACATGGATGAATGGGACCCCTCTTCTGGACTGGATCACTCCCCAGCTGGATGGACCCCCATTCTGTACTGAACCATCATCCATTATGACCTGGACTCCACCACTGAGCTGAATCAACCCCCAGTCTGAGCTTAACACACACTGCGCTGGACCACCCCACTGCCTCTGTCTGAGCTGGAACCCCATATGGCATATGGGGTTTAGAATATGGCAGCACATATTCTAAAATTGAGCTGGGCCCTGCTCTAGGTGGACCGTCCCCCCTTGGCTGAACAGGGCCGCCCATACGTCTTCTCTTCCCCAGGCCCCCATGTTCAGGGTGGTTAGTCAGGAAGGGGTTTCCAGGGCCAGCCAAGGGTCTACAGACTCTTCCTCTCTACCTATTCCTGAAACTCCACTGTAGCCCTTCCCTGGCTTGAGGGGCATAGAGTGCCTGGGAAGTTGCTATAGTAACAGGGCTCATCCTCACCATCGTTGGGGTTGGAAGCCATCACTCAGTCTTCCTCTCAGGGCACCAGGACTACGGTGGCTGGGAAGGCTCATGAGACCTGCTGTACCAGCCTGGCTGCCCCATCCCCAATACTCTTGTCTGTAAGGGGAGGTAGGGAGTTGTGGGGTGGTGGGAGGAAGGGAAACCCAACTTAGGGACCAATGGGTGCAGGGGAGGGATAGACAGGACCCTCAAGGTTCTGGAGGCCTTACTGGGCTAAGGGAAAAGCTGCCTCGGCAGGACCCTCTTGGGCACCCATACAACTGCCAGTGCACAGAAGGCGATTGCTGCTCTGAGATAGGCTTCTGTGGGATGTCAGAGGGCCGCCATTCTTCCCATCCAGGGGCCTCTTGGGGCACTTCTCACAGAGCCTGGATCTGCTTGTCCCTGGGACCTGGAGGGGGATCTGGGGGTTCCCTCTTGCCAGCCCCGCCCCTTCTGTGGGCCAGCTCCCAGGGGTACCTTTGGCCAGTGCCAGCCAAGGCCTGAGCTCCACTTGGCCGCCTGTCCCTGGGCCTCTTGGGAGGCCTTCTCTTGGTTCTCCAGCTTCCTCAGAGCCCAGGGCTTGGTCTTTTTAATATGCTCCTTAGCATCTTCCCCGGACCCCTGCCAATGGCTTTGGCATCTTTGGGTTACGATGTCTCCCACCCCACCCCAGGGCTTGTTCTAGATCCCTGCTCTCCTGGGAGGAAAGTGACACCGTCTCCTGCCATGCAGACAGGAGCCTGGGGGGCTGAGGGGTGTGTGACTGGTGCGTCCTATGGCTTGGGCATTTTCCTGACCCAGGTCAGGCTAGCAACTGGCAGATGAAATTCAGGTGCCCCCTACAGGCTGGCCTGGCTACTGCCCCCACCCCCACCCCCACCCCCACTGCACCCTGGTGACAAGAGGGCATATTTTGTCTAATTTCATTCTTTTGGACTCAGAGCGTCAAAGTAAAAAGGGGCTTCCTTTCTCATCCTATTTCCTTTTCTAAGAGCCCCTGTAAGCCTCTGGAAGGACGTACAGCTTGGGGGCATTTCCTGAAGTGTGACATGGGTCCCCCTGGCAGGGCACAAAATGATTTTAGGAAGTTTCACTTTTCCAGTTTACATTGTATTTTAATGGGTACCAGAGAGAATATGACCAGCAGAACAATCTCCTGATTTCATTTATATTATTGCTTAGGACAGATCAAACTTTACATCTGAACCAAAGTGGGTCAAAACTTTATTATTTTAAATTAAGAAAATATAAGTGAATAGAATAAAAATCAAGGAGGCAGCCTGAGAATGTCTGGGTCTGGAAATTCTGGGGTCTAGGAAGTTAGCTGATAAGCGGATCTGGATGCAAATCCTGCCTCTCTGACATCATCTATGTCAAACTCAAGACAGCGTGTTTGGAAAATTCGGAGCAAATTGTTATGAGAATCATTCCAGCAGATCGATCTATGGGGACCATTTAGCCTGGCACATCCTAGATGCCTAGTAAACAGTAGCTCTGTTTCATCATGATAGTCCACTTCTGGGTGTCCGGCCTGCCTGCTCTCCTAGTGAATTAGCGGTTCCTTCCAGAGCCTCTCTGATCCTCCGGAATCCTTTTCCCTGTGCGGCTTTCTACCCCACTATGCATGTGTTTGATATGCCTTGAAAGTTTTCCAGGACAATGTCATCTTCCCAACTTTCAACTGAGCTACCGCAGTATATAGCAATTTGCCTCCACCTTCCACCTCCCAGCCAGCCTCACCTGCTGGGGGCTCCAGCCCCTCCCCCTCTGCCTAGTCCCCTCCACGCTCATGCCCAGACCTTTTTTGGTCACTACCCACCTGCTACTCTGTCATCAAGTGCTCAGCTACAGGCACTTGCCTCCCTGTCCCCCGCCCATCGGTGACATGTCAGGCCTTTCCATGGCTGCTTGGTGATTCTGAGTTCTGCCATTTGAATCCGTGTGGAAATAAAGTTCCCTAGGTATTGTGCCTGCATCCTTCTGGGATGGGGCATTCGAAGGACTCAGATGCTGGGGTCTGAGATCAGAAATTGGGAAGGGCAATTTGGACACGGCCTCCCTTTCAGCTCTGACTATTTCTGGGTAACTGGAAGGGGATCCTAGCTCAGGTCCAGCTATAGGTCTGGAGTGATGACAATTTAAGAGCTGGGAGAACTGAGGAAGGCGCTGAGGCCATTTCTGAAGGCATTTCCAGATACAGAGTCTCTCTGGCTGGAAAAGGCTAACACCAACATAATTTGGGGGCTGAGGGGGAAACAGGCCTCTCTCTGGCTGAGCCCTGGGAATGATCAGAATCTATTTGTCCCTTGGCAAGGCAAGTCATTAGATGTCAGTCACTACTCTCTCCAACTGTCATGCATCAAGTCCCCTCTCTCACCATCCCAGCTCAAGTTGAATGAGCCCTGCTAAACCCAGACACTTCATACCCCACTTTTCATCCTGGGCCAGGAGAGGGTGAAGAAGCCCTGGGGACTGCGCAAATGACGGAGCCTCAGTTGTGAAACGACCATTTATTTAGGGGCACTTCAAGAAGCCTAGAGCTCACTGCATATCAGGAGACGGGAAGGAGCTCTGTTGCCGCCCCCCTCACCCCCACCTCCCCAAACCCAGGAAAGAAGATGCAATGAATCCCAGCAAGACCGGCTCAAACTTGGCTTTGGAAGCACTGAAGCAGTTCTCTAGGTTCATAAACAGTCTGCTACCTCAGTCAGGGACAGACGCTTGCTTGGAGGAGGGAACACAAGCAGAGAAGCAGAGTGACTGAGTGACAAGATGAGAGAGGGGCAGAGGGACCCAGAAAGATCCTGTCCCCCATGCCAAGTGACACAGAAGGGAAAAACAATGCTGGAGGTGGCTCTGGGAAATGCTTAAGGGGGGCAGCGTGGGTTTGGAGGGGGGCTGTGATAAGGTGAAAAGGGGAAGGGCAGGAGAAAGATGGCGGGGGCTGGAGGGGGGAGGGGTGTGGTCACTAAGTGGCCAAGGTCCCTGCGGGGTGGAGGCAGACCCCATAGCACTCCCAAGCTGGCAGAAACCTGGGTCGGGATCTGGCAGTGGGTTCCATCAGTGGGAGAGGTGAGTGAGGAAGTGGAGGGATTAGAATCTGGGAAGAGGGGGCAGGAAAGGAGGGGATGGGGTGGTGACAAGGCCCCATGTGGGGCCCCAGCGGTCATACGTGCCTTGGTTGGCAGTGACAGCTGGGTGGGGGGGGGCACAGTCTTTGCCGTGGGGGGTGGCCTTTGGCAAGGGGGCCCCTACGGGGGTCTTCTGCGGGCCCTGGGACCCAACCTTGGACAGGCAGGGGTAAGGGGCGCTGGGAGGGGATGAGTTGAGAGAAATAGAGGGGGGCGCGTAGGGGGAGGGGCCAGGCGGTGATGGACAGGCCGGGGGCTGGCAGCGCGGGGCCGGAATCGGGGTCATGGCCCGGGCACTCACCGCTCTCCTGCTCGCTGCCCTTCTTGGCGGCTGCGGCGTTGCCCATCGCGGCGACGGCGGCCGGGGCCGGTCCCGGAGCTGCGGCGCGGCGGGTGCTGGCGGCGGCCGGCGGCCCAGGAGCGCGCTGGGCGGCGGCGGCGGCCCCTCGGGTTGGCTGCGCTGGCTGCGGCGCCGCGACCCCCGCCCAGCCCCTGCTTCCCGCGTCTCTCCGCGCCCGCCCGCCGGGGAACCTCAGCCCAAGTCCGCTGCTGCTGTCCGTGACGCCCCCGCAGCCCGCCGATCATTGGCCTAGCCCGTCCTGAGTGACGGCGCCACGCCGCCGCCCATTGGCCCTCCGCAATCCTCCCGGGCTGCGATAGGCCCTCGGCTTCGTGACGCGCGCCGCGGACGCCCGGCCACTCGCGAGCTCGCGAGGCCTCAGCTGGGCGGGCCGGCGCACCTGACTGGCCAAGATTCGCGACAGGGCCCGTGGCCCGCCCAGCGAGGCCGCCAATTGGCGGAGGCGCGCTGTCCGGCAAACCCCCCGCAGAACATTCAGTGTCAATCCCGGGGTGAGAGGGCGGGGCGGAGATGCAGCCTACGGCTCGGGCCGGCCGGGCGGGGCGGCAGAAGCTGGCGGGTGGCCGCGCCGCGCTCCGAGGCCCAGGAGGCGGTCCAGGCGGGCGTCCGCCTGGCCCGGTACGCGCCGCAGTCCCCGCCTCCGCTCAGTGCGGCAGCGGCTGCCGGCCAGCCAAGGTTGGCGCCAGGGCCTCCCCACCACCCTCCCGGCGCAGCCGCCGTCCACCTGCCAGTGGGGGAGGGGCGCGGCGGGCGCCTCGGGTCAGAGGTCGCCAGGCCGCAGGCAGTCGTCATTCATAAGGCCTGACGCAGGACAGCAGAGTCCAGGCCGAGGAGCCTTCTAGGTCTCCTCCAGCCATAGCCAGAGTTTCAGGAGGATGCTGCGCCCAGGGAGTAAAGGGTGGTTGGCAGGGGGCTCTGTACCATCCCTTTGCTGGGCATCTACCCTGGATTTGTGCGCGTCAGTAGTAGGAGCTGGCACTTGTTAAATACATTGCACCACAGTCCTATCACGGAGGTACTATTATCATCACTCCCATTTTACAGATGAGGAATCTGGGGCACAGCCAGGCTGATGATGCCTTTTGGGCAACACGAAGGGAAGCTGCCCTCCCTGAGCAATACGATGACTCTTTTTTCTGGGTGCCCTTTTATTTTCATTTTTAAAGAATTTAAGTAATCTCTACATCTAATGTTCTGCTCCAACTTACAACCCAGAGATCAAGAGTCCCATGCTCCACGCAGAGCCAGCCAGGTGCCCCTGGGTGCCCTTTGATTATTTATTTATTTAAAAGATTTTATTTATTTATTTGACAGAGATCACAAGTAGGCAGAGAGGCAGGCAGAGAGAGAGAGAGGAGGAAGCAGGCTCCCTGCTAAGCAAAGAGCCCGATATGGGGTTCGATCCCAGGACCCTGGGATCATGACCTGAGCCACCCAGGCGCCTCGGGTGCCCTTTTAAAACAGCCTGAGGTCAGTTTCTCACTGCCACACTATTGACATTTGGGGCAGAGTAATTCTTTGTTGGGGGTGAGGGACAGGCCTGTGTGTGCACAACAGTTTTATCAGCATCCCATCTCTACCCACTGGATGTCGGTAGGACTTCCCTCACCTCCACCAAAACAGATCTCAGACATTGTTAAATGTGTCCCGGAGGCAAAGCACCCCCAGTTGAGAACCACTGAAGTAGAAGACCCAAAGAGAACTGGCCAAGGGGAGCAGGGGGCCGGATGAACCAGCTATCTTGACTCAGGAGCTAGTTGGTCTCAGGTCTATAAGCCAGTTGGCTGGTCGGCCTATCGACCTATACAGTCCACACCCTTTCCAGCAGCTATCTGCACCCATGTTCCTAGGTCTCCCAGTTTCCAGGAGGGAAGAGTTAGGGCACTTCTCTGAATTATGGGGAAATGGCTCACCAGCCAAAGCAGTCTACTCCGGGCTGTGGGGTTACAAAGTAAGGTTAAGTAAAATTTAATAAAAGTGTTGCTTTGTGTGTCCTTGGGGCATGATGTTAATTTCTTCCCGTGGGTCAAGGTCAAAGTCTAAAAAATCACTGGTTATGCTCTATCCAGAACAGCTGTGTTGCTTAACTTTTGACAAAGAAAAACCCCTCCCTGAACCTCAGTCTGGAGTACAATTATGTAACCAATTAAGACTAGGGTAAGGAGCTGAGCAAGGGGACAAAGGGCAGTCAGCCCAGTGGCTGGGGCAAGAGCCCCCTCACCACATTATGAGGAGAAATGAACAAATCTGCCTCAGCCCACTTAAGACAAAAGCAGAATCAGTCTAGATGAAGTGCTCTTTATTTTTAGATCAACCAAAATATTTAATATAAAAACACTTTAATATACAAACTGCAATCACAATAGCATCCACGTAGCAGCAAGGGAACAGGGCGTCGCGGGGAGCATGGTGTTGGGTTGGGGGAGAGGTTTTTAGGGTCCCTACAGTTTCCTTTGCCTGTAAGAGCACGAGGTCTTCGCAGCGGGCAGATCAAGGCAGGCAGAGGGGCCCTGATGCCAACACTGAGGCAGACTGAGCAAAGCAGACTCCTCCAACATGCCATTTCCCCACCATGGCAGCCTCCAGGGAAAGACAGATCCAGTTAGGAGACGATGGGAAGGTGGTTTGACTGAGAGGAGAGTCAACCATCACTCCTCAGCATCCTGCTGAGCACACCCCTTCAGAAACAGTTTTCCAGAGGCTGTTGTATTAGAAAGACCTAAAAACTGTCCTGGGAGAAGGACAGAAATTGAGTCCAAACATACCTTTTAACCAAGATTTCTTGCCTGTGACTCCAAAAAGTGGGGTGGATTTGCTCAGATGTTGGGGAACGACAGGAATGACAGAGACTTTGGCTCAACAGGGCTGGAGCCTTGCCAAGGATTGACCAAGAAAGCCTCAAGTCAGGCCAGGGAGGTCTGTGGGAAGAGCTTTGGGTCAATGGTACTCACAGAAGCATGGTGAGGCAAAGGCCTGCAGGTGGAATTTATAAAGTGTGTGTGGAAGAGAGAAAAGACACAAGTCACAAAGAATTAAAAACTGAAGTACCTGCTTCTTACAGGCCTGGGCAGTAGAGGTAAGACGATCCTTCTGGGTCAGGGTTGGGAGAGACCTGAGGCCTGCTTCCTTCCTCAGAGCCACGTCTGACTGGCCTGGGTATAGTTGATAGCCTCAAAGCCCTCCAGATGGCCTCCATGGGACTGTCCAGGAGGCCAAGTTCCCCTCTCCAGATGTGCTAGGAGACTGGCCACAGTCCCAGCTGGGCCCAGGTAGGGCCTGGATTCCCGCAGTTAGATGCAGTCCATGGAATTCTCGGGAAGGAGGCTGGGGATGCAGCCAGGGAGACCCAAGCCCTTGATAGGAGCACAGCTGAAGGGGAGGCCACAGCCCAGGGCAGGGTCCTGGTTCTCTATAGCCTCTAGCCTGTCCATGTTGTTGTCCCAGTTGATGTGGAATCGGGTCACTCGGGGGTTCGAGGCCAAGATGTTCCTCTGGAGCTGGGGCAGAAAGAGGAACGTCAACCCTTGTCAGCATGCCTTGTCATTACTCCCACGGAGCTGGGGCACCCCCAGCCCCTGCCCCAAGGCCAGGAAGAATAGAGCTTACTTATTCCATCACCATCAACAACTATGGGTAGAACTCCAAGGAGCGCCTATGTACCACAACTTAGGGCTGAGACCTATCTAATCTCAATTCTGCGAGGCGTGCTTCTGAGAAACAAAGACCTTTCTCTCTCTGGTTCTAGTCTGGAGCTGCAAGATCTGAGCATGACTTGAAAACCTTAAGAAGCGACCTTGGCTCCCAGTTCCAATGACTCAACTCCCCCAGGTGCAAAGGAGCCAGCCTGTCCAAAGCAGGAAGTGCAGACACAGGCCCTACCTGAGAGAAGTCTGGCTTCAGGGGTGGGTTCTCCCGCAGCTCGGGATTGGGGTATTCATTGTTGACGTAGTAGCCCACACGGATGAACTCCTGTCCATGGTAGGTGCAGGTGATGAGGACCACTGTCACACCCACAGCATCAGTCTCGGGGATGAGGGATGGGTTGGGGGCGTCAGCCTAGAGGAAACACACCCCATGCCTTAGCATTGATCACACAGCCACACCTCCCTCAGTTAACAATGATTTTCAAGCAACACGTATTTACTGAGCCAGAAGTATGGTCCCTACCAACGGGAGTTTTTAATCGAGTGGGGAAGACAGAATCAATCCTGCAAATGCCTGTAAAATGCTCAGTGTGACAAGTGCCACCAGGAAGTAAATGGTGCTGAGGAGTATAGTGAGTGGGGGGAGGGTGGCAGAGGATAAGGCAGGTAGGTACTAGGCCACCCAGGCCCTTTTGGGCCAGTTAAAGGCTTGGAGAAGAGAAAGAATGTTTGGCAGGAGGTAAGTGCTGCATCACTCTTGTGGGGTGTGAGGCAGGGTGTGAGGTTATGATGGGAGGAGGGTCGTTGTGTGAGCAGGGAGATCGGGCAGGTTACAGTAGTCACCCTGGAGCACAGAGAGCAACTTATACCAGGAAGGAGAGGAACAGAGGCAGACAGATTTGGGATGTGTTGTTATGGATAGGACCAGCTACATAACTGGTACAAAATGAAACCAATACCTAATGAAACAAGGGATCCCTTATTCACAAATTACTGAGTTCTAGCCAGCGACAGCAGAATTTATTAGACCAGGTGCTGGGCCCTGTATGGCCACATGGGCTGAATGCTCAGGAAGGCAGCCCTGCTAGTGGAGTGGCGCAGATGGGCTTGCCTTGCTGGTGGCCTGGTTACAGGAGGGTGAGGTGTCAGGGGATGGGATGAGGTTGTTTGGACTGGGGTGGGAGCAGCAGAGTGGGAGGCAGGTGAGGACTGAGCAGAGCCTTTGCTTTTAGTATCTTTAAATATTTATTTATTTTTAAATGTTTATTTATTTATCTTAGAGAGAGAGAGAGAGAGAGCAAGCGAGACGGGGAAGTGGAGGAGGAGCAGAGGGAAGAGTATCCCAAGCAGACACCACGCGAAGCCCAGTGCAGGGCTTGATCCCATGATCTTGAGATCATAACCTGAGCCAAAACCAAGAATCAGATGCACAACAAACTGTGCCACCCAGGCGCCCTGGTGATCTTGCTGTTCAGAATGGCCAGCAAGCATAGTGCTTAGTGCAAGGTGATGATGTGCCTTATGGAGAAGGTATGTGTTAGATAAGCTTTGTTCAGGCATGAGTTAG